GTGTTTGTGTGCAGTAAACTGATGGAGTTTTTCTCATCTTCCTCTAATGTTTAGACTGCTATTGATCACATTGAACATGATACACAAATTTTATTCCTCTTAAGCAAGTTCTTATCACACTATTTTCCAATGATCAGTCTTGCAAAAGTATTCACATCCCTAAACTGTTCACATTTTGGAAAGTTAGAACTGCAAAATATTATTATTATTATTTTTATTTATGTACTTTTTTTTAGGATACTTGTTTGTGGATCTCTGCAGCTCCTCCACAGTTTTGCTTTTGGCTAATTAGTACCCTCTTTGTCTATTCTTTTAATTTAGCTGGATGGCCATGTCTTGGTACTTTTGCAGGTTTACCATATTCTTCCACTCCAACTTTTTTTTTTTTACTCCTCTTTACCCCTGACCTGTCTGCTGTGTTCCTTGATCATAATGATGCTTCTTGTTTATGAATATTTTCAAAAAATCTAGCAGTTATTCACAGATCACCATATATTATATTGAACACAGACAGACTGTTTTTACAAATGGGGTGAATTCAAATTCATAAGAGTGTATTTTGTTATCATAAAAAAAAGGGGCAAATACTTTCCAGTGGGTGGAAGCGTGGAAAGTGTTAAGCATGAGCAGTAATGTGAGCTATTTTCAATGTTACAGGTAGTGGTGCTCTGATGCTTATACCCTCCATCTAACCTTGAAAACAGAGAGTGACGCTGATGTAGTGGACACTGTGCCTCTCCTATCTAACCTTAAATGCTGAAAAATGTCCCCTCAAATAAAATGGATGACCCAGCTGTCACATCTGTTATAACATATATATTGTTTTACAAGGTTGAGCCATCAAGCATGCAAGAAAAGGTTCAATTTTAAAGCAGTTGCAAACTGCTTTTAAAAAAATGACGGTGTAAAAGAAAACAAATAAGGAAAAAAATGGATTTACATTCGAGAGGACGTCGGGGTACGTTTTTGCTAAAAATTCCACGGATCCTTTTTGTTGTTTTCATAACATGTTAGAAAAGTGCCTTTCAGAGCAAATCTGGAAAAAAAAAGGGCAACATTTTTTTCTTTATACACACATGTGCAGGAGGGTGGAGGGGTTCTATTTAACTTATCCATGTCGGACAACACTCTGTTAGGGGGTATCAGGTATAAATTCCACTCCAATTTACAAATCAGAGATAATTTCCATACGCTGCTGTGAAGATTTTTCACATTCAAATGAGTGGGTGTAGGGTTGAGAGGGGCACAAGGAATCTTTTGAGTCTGCAAAAACCAAAATTGTTTAGCTGTCCAATCGGGTGTTATACTACACATAATATATGGTTATTTCATTCAGCCGCCAGACTGCCAAGATGTTTTCAATTTGGCATGGCCCTGCGATCATGATATCACAGAGAAAAAGTGAGGGAGAGCTTCCAGTCTAGGATGGCCAGAGCAGCGAGAGGGCGATCATTTCGCCAAACTCAAAGGCTCCCCCCACCCGCCGCCCCCTCTCCTCGCCTCTTTCTCCCTTTCTCACTGGGACGAATAATTCCACAGTTGCTGAGGCACTGAAAAAGCAATCTGCGGAATACCCCAGGGTCATGTCTGTGGCGGGATGATTTGTGTGAAATGTCATACATTAAATATAAGTTTAACATTCAGCCCGGTGCACTGTAAAACTGCCCTGTCGTTGCCACAGTCCACCATTTCCCCGAGTGCAGGGAGGGTTCGGGTTCAGGAAAGCGGTCACAAAGGAGTTGGACACACATACGTGCATACACACCACCCCCTGTGTCGGCCCAATCTCAAAGGTAGTGGGGAGGAAGGTGGAGTGTAGACAGCGGGGAGTTGTGAGGCCATTCAATCTACAGCTGCATTTCATTTATGATTGTGAGAGCAAAAACTTTTTTTGTTTTTGTCTGTGAAAATCTATTTTTCTGTTTTTCTTATTGTCTTTGTTTACATGTGGGCACTGTATGAAGGAAGGACCACGAAGAGAACAATATAGAGAAAACTTTGGAAAGACGATGGTCCCAGGGACGTTTGTTGCTTGGCAGAAATTGAGAAAAGTAAGGTAAAAATAAAAGGGAGGGCAGTAGGGTAGTAGCAGACAGGCTGATGGACAAAGATGGACAGTGGGTTTGTGAGGCAGGTGTTGAATGTGTGTCCAGGCTGTGAGATGAGAAAGTAAGAGAAGTGGAGAAGAACAGGGATGGGGGGTGGGGGGTTGTGACTAATTCATAAAGTTTCAGGAAAATAGCAGCCCACTGAAAGCAAGAGAAGCGAGGGACAGGGAAAAAAGGTGTCTCAAGGGACTTCAGTGAAGCAGTCATCCCAAAGAGCAGGAGAGAGAGAAAGACGATTCTGTCCATCCCAGTAGATGAGAAAAAAATGACAGAGGGGCTACAAAGGATGTCATCTGGCAGAGGGACAACTGATGAGCTTCCTCTCTTTTCTTTTTTCTCTTTGTCTTTATGCCTTCTTCCCTCCTGGCTTGTTTGTTTTGCTCTGGGTCTTTGCCTGGAGAAAGTTTCTGTCTCAATGACTACAATCAGATCATGTGTTTGATATGCAAAGAAGCGTGTTGTGGCCATTCCAGAAATGTGAATTTCAGGGCAGATAGCCAACTTTTGGGAAGATCAAAGGGCAACAGTAGATGTTTTAAATGTAAGCATAAAACACTGTATCAGTTATGATTAGGCTATGCCAGGCCCAGGTGGATATAGTTCATAAATCTAATTATGTACCCCTGTGCGTTCCCAATATATTCTTATCTACTTGGCACAGTTCAATTTAGTCTTTGCCTGGTGGTGTTTGACAATATTTGCATCTAAAAAAATCCATGCATCCTTTCTACAAATTTTGCTTATTATTGCCATGAAAGAGCTCACCACTAGATTTATCAATTTCACCTTGAAGGTGTTGTACTTGCCAGTGCATTTGTAAGCAAGCTGGGACTCTTTGAAGACGAACACAGTATCGTTCAATCTGCAGGCCCCCCCTCTTCTCTGCGCTTCTCCTCCCATTTCACCCCTACTTCAAAGCAGAAAGGCTGAGATGAAGGTTTGGAAAGAAATGGAAAACAAATTGTTCATTTGTATCTGGGAGGAGACCAGACACTTGAGCAAATGTTCTCGGCATTCTCTCTTTAAATGCGATGCACTAAAGTTATCTTAAGGTTAGTCGCAGGAGAGACGGAATGAGACGAGATCTCAGGAGCTGTTGTTTTTAAGATCTCAGCCAGACAATCAAACGTGTAAATAAACGGGAGGCAGCTCAATGATCACCTCCAGGGCAAATTGCAGAGATACGCATTGCATACAGCTGAATGGAAATCTTCCACAAGCACTGTGGAAGAGCTTGTTAGAAAACCTTATTTTAAGTTTAAAAACACTCACTAAAATACATAAGCAAATAAACTCGCTCATAACTTTGTACATTTCCAACAAATATTTTACTACTGCAAGATGATTCTCATTCAACTGATACTGGAAGGAAACTACACTACATGGTGAATATGAAAGGCAGTCATTTATATTTTGAATATATGCAGAATATTAATAGTCAAATATATATTTTAGTCTGTCAGGTATTGTTCTATGGATACAAGCAAAGATATATATATATATTACTGTATTTTTCAGGTTGTTGTGATGATAGATCAAGAACCACAGTCTAAGATCAAGCCTTTGCTATTAGTAAAATGACACTTTTCACTACCACTATTGAGGCAGCCATTACATTCAATGTGCCATAGATAAAAAGACCTAGTGGCTTTGATCATTGGAAATAAAATTATGTTCTTTCATTGACCAAATAAGAGTGCCTTTTTGATGACATGCTTGACTTGACTAAACACACCATGCTGAGTTAAATAGATGCCTTCTATTAAAGAATCTGAGAGGCATTCAGAAAACATGCATGTCATTGTGCTTTACTTCCAAAGGTTATGTTGGACGTTTAAAAAGATGAAGAAGACACTGATCTATGCTCTCAATCACCTCTGAACCAATTTGTTGTGCCTGTCTTCTACTGATGAGACCGGGCTCCGAAATGATGAGCAATACTTAAATGGAGCTTTGTTAGCAACAACTTGCTTTGATGTTCCAGAGCTGAATTTCATTGTGATTCATGCACAAAGACTGGATATCAGACATGCTGAGCAACTGACTGAGTTATCATTTGTGAACACTAACAGTCTCAGGTCTTTATTTGGTTCCTGTCAGAAGTTTACATACATCCATCAGAGGCATTAATGTCTTTGATTTGGGGCTTTGAAATGAATTTGAAATGTTTTTTTGTTGCTGTTTAGAGTGAAATTAATCAACATATTGCTGCAGAAATGTAAAAATAAATAAATGAATAACTTGGATCGCAAGTTAATTGAGGATCCATACAGAATATTAAAATGAGTCTCTGTTTTGGAAATTTCAAGAACAGGACACAAATTGTCACCCTCATAAACTATTGCAATGATTGGAACAACCCAGGAATCACCAAGGTGCAAAACAGCCATAAGCTGGAACCGAAGTGTTCACTGTCACTGTCCACAGTCATGGGTTTAGCATCAAAATGAACAGTGTATGAAGTCCAAGTAACAATCACAGAAAAACAAAACAAAACAAAAATAATAGGAATATCTTCAAGCTCTACCAAGGTTTGCAACCAGCTACCCAAATAGACATATCAAATGTCATCTGAAAAAAATCTTGTTCAATGGAGGAAAAGATTAAGTTATTTGGCCCCTGGGGCAAGACTTATGCTTGAAGTTAAAGAAAAATTTGAATTCAAATAATGTACCATCTTTAGCGCAAGATAGTGACTACATCATACTTAGTCATTTTCTCTATCAGATGTACTAGTAGATTACAGAAAATGGATGGAATAACGAGACAGCACAACTCTGAACTGTTAACCTCAAATCAGTGGCTTGATGGTTGAAACTTTGATGGGGCAACAATTTTAAAAGCACATCATGCTAACATTAAGCTTCTGGAAAAGCCTTACAAAGCACCAACCTTTATCATATTGAAGATTCGTGGGAAATAACAGCTCTGTTCTTGGCATGACACCAACTTCTGCAAAAATAAATAAAATAAAATGAATTAGTGAACAAATACGCCATCAGAATCATATCAAATGTTTGGTCATTTTTTAAAACAAAATACATAAATAAGATGAGGATGGAGCTTCTTAGGGGTATACATAAAAGTCCCAAAATGCCAAATACCAAACCCATGATAATGATTCATGGACTGATGGAAGCAGAACAGGCTAAGACTCCTTGCCATTATCCTGGGGCAGGCAAATCAAGGCAGCAAATCAGGAACAATGGGGCCCCTCAAAGAGCAGAGTGGGGATCAAAGCACTGCTAACTGACCATTGCAGTCCAATTGAAATATTCACTTTGCATCTTTCCAAACATAATGGATGTTGAAAGTGGGAGGTGAAAAGAAAGAGCTGCTTGCTCACATTTGATGTCAAATTATAGATGGTAAAAAGAGGGGAAAGTAGAAATACACATGGCAGTCCAGGCCTTTTCCAGTCATCTGCTAAGGCCTCATAATGTCCCTTGGTTATTTTTTGACTTTGAATTTGCAAAGACCCATTTTCCCTCTTTTTTTTCCCTTTCTTTGAACCCTCCAATGGTAACATTATGATGATATATGAGATGCTATACTATAGCCGTTGTGCATGTGGAGTCGATTGAAGCAGGCCATTTCTTAAAGTGTCCTCTCACTTTTATTCTCTCTGTACTTTCTAATCTTCTTTCCCCATTCTTCCTGTCTTTGTCTCCCCCATCACTTCTTCTCTCCATCTCGCCAGCCATTTGAATGTGTTGATCACCTGGGGAGATGCTGCATTAATGCTGACGCCCAGTAAAAGGCAGAATCTCCTCTTTATTTATCTGCACTAAAATTCCTCCCAATCTTTCCAGCACATTTCACTCAATCACACAACTCAGGCCATTCCATTAGCCACACAGGGGCGTTTTACTCCATTGAGCACAACACGCCCCGCACTTCGATGAATATAGATTCCCTTAAATTATGTATAATGGGAGTGCTCAGATTTTAGCATTTTTGCTAAGAGGGTTTGAAGACGTACAAGTTGTTTCTGCTGCTTTTTTGAGTGCATCTTGAAATTTGCAGTATGTAAGAGAGACCAGAGACACTTCCTTTGAGTTTGTACATGGAAATGAGGGGAGAGGGGAGAGAGCGATCATGCGAAGCTGGCTACACATCACATACAATTTTTCTCCGAGTGGGAATGACAGGGAATTGTGGATGAAAGTCAAAACAAATACACATTAAAGCTGTGCACTATTTCCCAGGTATTTACAGCATATAGCATCAAAAGTAAATGCATGCTTGATTACTTTTACACGGCTGTTGGCTCAGCGAAGTGTCCATTGTTGTTGTTATTACCAAGCCTCGAGTTATCTTCGGCGGAAGACCCATTATCAAAGGTCCCATTATCAAACGTCTGAGTTTGATCGCTTATTGTGGGGACCATTTTTTCAGCTCCAAGTGTGAGTAGAGTAACTAATTGGATAGTGACTAATTTTAATTCACATGTAGGCAGTTGGTGTCCATGTACCTCAGCAGGAGGGATGGACACAGCTGAGATATAGGAACAAACAGACCAGGAATTCTATAATCAGAACAAAATCAACATCCTCATTACTGACTCCGAGCTGCAGCCGGCATCAAAAAGAGCTTCAAATCTCTCTGCCCTTGTTTGCAGGCTGTGATTATGTTCAGTGTCAGGCCCAATACATGGTCGCTTTTCTCTGTTGCTTTGCATGGAAACATGCTCACCGGGATGCTAACAACTAATCGGGCAAGGGGAAGCTCAAGTTATTTCATTGCTGTGACTAAAATCAAGCCAGTCCAATTTTGATTTTTTTTTTTTTTTTCCATGCGGCAATCTTTGAAAGTGCAAAGTCATGAAGCTGCTCGTCAGAACCTCTGTGAACACAGAGCGGACGGTGTCATATTGCTTTCTTTATTTCCTCCAAACTGTTCATCAATGTATTCATAAAAATGTTTTATTAGTTATGCTGTTATTAAACAATCTTTAGTACTTTTGTGTTTTTGCACTGCTGCACACAACTGCCCACAGGGTGTTTCTGTAGACAGGCCAATGTAGACTGATTAAAAAGTGTCTTGTTAGACAAGACTGTCTTTTGAAGGAAATAGATTCATTTACCTTTGCTTAAGGAATCAACATTAATCACTGTCTGGTTTTAATACACTTTGTCTGTGTCTTCAACAGGAAGTGGAATAAAAGCCTAACTTTATCTACTTTTTTTCTGTATTTTTAAAAAACATATTTTTTTCACCAGTATGTTGTCTGTCCTGCAGCAGCCTATATTTTAAGCCATGCCATTTCAGACATTTTTCAGACTTGACAAATATGTACAATTGATTTTGTTTTCTTTATTAGTTGTGCAATTCACAAATTTACCCTTCTGGTAAAGAAAAAAAGACAATTATTGAAAGGCCTCACTTTTGTTTTTCAGATGGCATGTAGCGATCTCAGAAAATAAGGAATAGTGTGCTGTGGTTAGCAAATACATGTTTTATGGGGTGCAAAACTAAAACTCCACATCACCCAGAACACACCATCTCCATTGTGAAACAGGGAGATGGCTGCATGATGCTCTGGGGATGTGTTTAATCAGCTGTCAAATGGAGACTGGTCAAGGTCAACGTGAAGATCAATGAAGCCAAACACAGGCAAATCCCAGAAGAAAAAAAAAAAAAAAAAAAGAACTGATAGGTCCTGAAATTTACACCAGATACAGAGCAGGACAACAGCCCTAGACATACTGCTGGAGTTGGAAGGGAATGGTAGAAAATCTGGTCTAAAGTCCAGATCTAAATCCTATTAAGAATCAGTGGCAAGACTTGAGTTCAGTTGCTCTATTCGAAATGTGTCTATCTGATTTGATTTGCAAAGAAAAATATGCAAAACAACATAGTCTTCATGTACACAAAGCTGGGAGAGACAGCTATAAACCTCCAAATACTTGAAGCCGAAATTGCAGTGAAAGGTGGTTTATAATGTAATACCTCGTGTATGTTGAACACACATGCAGGCCACACTTTATAGATTTTTATTTGTAATAACTCTTGAAAATGAGACCATTTCAGTCACATAAAATAACTTGATTAAAATTGTGATTGCAATATTGAAAAATATGGAAAAGTTGAGGTGCTGTTTGAACTCTTACAAGGCACAGGGACTCAATTTTTCTTTTCTGTTACTTTTCATTGAAATGAACTTCAATTCATTTATAGTTGTAAGTCATTTCTGTGTATGAAATTTACAGCCCAGTATCTCCCCCTTTGCTACAACTTGATCCATTCTGACATTTCCGGTAATAAGACCAAGAAGTATCAGATTTTACTCACCACTACAGATGGACCAGAGCTTGACCTTATGCAGCAAGGCTTCTCCAACACCAGTCACTCAGCTGTCTTATTTTATCGCAGCCTAATCCTCAATAATATATTCCATACTATCACATGACTGTGCATTTTATTTGCCGCTGGCTATGCTTGGCAGCAACCAGCATAACGCAAGGGCCAATAGGTTGACAGTTTCCAGGACCTTCTGCATGTTTCATGAACATTTCACCTGTGACACCTGCTGAAATTATGCCATTTAAATACAAACATATGTCAAGATTCTTTAGGAAAGAGCTCTTAGTGATGTAGCAACACTGGTAGTATGCAGATGAGAAGCAGAAAGGTTGTGAGAGGGTGTCTAAGTCTGTGCTGGGTTTGGACACTGCCTGTCCATGTTGTTGGAGTGTAATGGAAGTGTCACCCTCGAGGAAAGCTGCTGGAAGTTTAGGTCACGATGCCCTTCAGCATGACACACACACCCACACACATCGTCGGTGTGACAGAAACATGCAAAAAGCATACGGCCGCCATGGCAACTGAATCTGTGTGTGTGCGAGTCCTCGCGAGGGTCTGCATCCGCCGTGTGTTTGTGCGCGTATTGATCCGACGTGACGTCTAAACTGTATTATTGACCTAAATGTTGTTTCTAACATCTAATCTGTTCTAGCTCAGATGTAATTTTGTCAAGAATTTAGAAACACTTGTTAGTTTCACTTAAGAAATTGTCGGCTGATGGGAATTTATTGCACCGATTCAGATGGATTGCTTTCATAAAACCTGATGTTGCATTGAGGGAGCCAAATATAGCAAGTGTTCCAGTAACTGTATGATGCCTCAACACACACACACACACACAGCTACCTGCCTACACAAACACACACAAATAAACATACGACAAGCACTCACACATACAGACGTGCACGCACACTTTTATTGATCTACAGCTTAGCTCATGCCAGCAGGTAGTCCAACTCACCGGTTATTCTGAGGCATTGCTTTCAGTAGTTCCATCCACACACATGCTACGTGATTGTTTCCAGTGGCTAAATCTACACAATTTGTACACGGCCAACTCTTAAGACACCATCACCTCCTCTTCACAGATCAAGAGCCGCATTTTGTCGATACCACACACACTCGCATTCAAACTCAAAAGCATGCTGCCTTTTAACTCAAGCGTGTTTAAAGCTGCGAGAGTATCAAGTTAAATGCTGCTGCATAGTTAGTTCTTATGTCCTGTTCTCCCGTCCCTCCATTTCCATCGCTTCCTCCTCCCAAATATTGCCTTGTATGCTTTTCTGTCATAGTCACGCTTTTTGATTTCTCTTTACAGCCCCGAACGCAGTACGGGGTGTAAAGAATAAGGGATTAAGGCATCTCGTTTCAGTAGGTTTGAGTGGTTGTGGTGTGCATGTGCACGTCCACTTTGTTTAGTTGCCTTGCATTTACGGCTGTGTCGCCTCTTTGAATCCAATATGAAAACAAGGAGGAAAAAAAGGGGGGGCACAAAGTTCAGTTTGTTGAACTAACATTTGGCACAATGGCATGTTTCTCATTAAAGTCAATCAGCCCGTAGACAACAAAAGAACCTTTCACTCGTGAGTATGAAGTGAAAATAAAAAGCAGGGAAACAGTTTGCTGGCACCCACTCTCTCTGTAAA